CCCGCCACGTCTTTGATATTAATAATGTTGAAGGGAGGCTGCCCTTAGTCCTGTCTGACACGGTGCTCTGATGTGTGTCATTTTTAGTGCTATCTTGGGTGACTTGGTGCACCCCGGCCTTATGGGCTATGAGTGGCTCCAACCACCCCTGTACCACGCCCCAAGCCTTGCAGATGTACCGGACGTTGTCTGGTCAATTTCCCTCTCGGGGCCCTCACTGGCGCCCTCTCTGGCTCGTCTCGCCACCTGCACCCTCACTGGCTCGTCTCACTTTTTGGGGTTTCTTGCCACCGCCTGCACTGGGGCTTCTCGCCACCACCCGCACTGGGGCTGGAGTCAGTGCACTCCTGAATGATGTACCCTCTCTGGCACCGGGGTCCCCACACTACTGTGGAGCCCTTATGAGGCCTCCTCCAACCCCTAATAGCCTCACCCGGTCCTCTGGTGTAATGACAACAACAAAACAATAACACAAGCCCCTGGGCTATCACATAAAATCTAAGCCGCCTGGCTAACCATCATTCAAATTCCTACCAGGGAATTCTCCGCCCGGTATCCGTGAACAGAAGCTCTCATGCCATCAGGCTTCTCTGCTCTGCTTGCTCCTGCAGAGCTCCTTCTCCCTTGGCTACTAGTTGAGAGAAAGAGCCCTTGTCCTCCTGTCTGTGTCTTATAGTGGTCAGCCCTCCACCTTCCAGTCAGCTGACTCACCAGGTGTGGGCCCTTAGCTCCTCTTGGTTGCCCCTAGCAACCAGCACCTGAGCCCATGATGCTGCCTTCCAGGTAGCAGGCATCTTAGTGCCCTGCTACAGTTACCAAAACAAGTGAGAGAGTTGTGGGATAATTATAAAATATATGCTGTCTAACAGTGACATATTTAAAGATCGAGCGACATTGTGTGGGTTTCTGGAACTTTCCATATGAAACTCTGACTATAGATTCCAGATGTGGGAAAACTTTATTATTTACATTTACAGATGGGGAAGCTCAGACAAAGGGAAGTTAAGTAGCATGTCTAGGGAAATGAAGCAGACCAGCAAGAGAATAGCAAACAGAATATTGGTCTCATAATTCATAGAAAATTAGGAGTAGAAGAGGTGATGCTGACAAGTCTGTAGTTCCCCAGATCCTCCTCCTTCCCTTTCTTCAAGATGGGCACTATATTTACCCTTTTCCAATCATCCAAGACCTCTCCCAGTTGCCATGAATGTTCAAAGATAATGGCCAGTGGCCCTGCAATCACATTGGCTAACTTCCTCAGCACCTTCAGATGTGCATTGTGTCTGGCCCCATGGACCTGTACAGATCCATCTTTTCAAAATAGTCCCTAACCTGTTCTTTCACCACTGTCGGCTGCTTACCTTCTCCCCAAACTGTGTTGTCACATGCAGCAGTTCGGGAGCTGACCTTGCCTGTGAAGACTAAGGTAAAAAAGGCATAAGTACTTCAGGCTTTCTACATCATTTGTCACTTGGTTGGCTCCTCCATTCAGTAAGTGACCCATTCTTTCCCTGATCTTCCTCTTTTCACTGACATACTTGTAAAAACCATTAGTTATCCTTCACACCCCTGGCTATTGGCAACTCCAATCATTCTTTGGCCTTCCTGATTTCATCCCTGTATGCCTAAGCATGCTCTCATACTCCTCCCTAGTGGTTTGTCCAAGTTTCCACTTCCTGTAAACTTCCTTTTTGTGTTTTACCTCATGGAAGAGTTTCATGCCAAGCCAAGCTGGTTTTCTCCCATACATGTTAGTCTTCCTGTGCATTACGATGGTTCCCTTCTGCACCCTCAGTAAGGTTTCTTTAATGTACAGCCACATCTCCTGCTTTCCTTTCCCCCCTCAGACTGGTCTCCCTAAGGATACTGGCCAACAGTTCCCTGAGTAAGTTGAAGTCTGCTTTTCTGAAGTCCGGAGTCCTTACTCTGCTGCTCTCCATCCTTCCTTTCCTCAGGATTCTGAACTCTGAAGTCACCTTGTGGTCTCTGCTGCCTAAGTTGCCATCCACATCTATATTCCCCATTGATTCTTCCCTGTTTGTGAGTAGCAGGTCAAGAAGAGTACAGCCGCTAGTTGGCCTCTCCAACAGTTGCACCAGAAAGTTGTCCCCGACTCTCTCCAAAAACTTCCTGGATTGTCTGTGCATTGCTGTGTTGTCCTTTCAGCAGATGTCAAGGTGATGTCAAGATGACTGAAGTCCCCCATGAGAACCAGGACACGTGATCTGAAAACTTCTGGTAGTTGTCTGAAGAAAGCCTCATCCACTTCATCTCCCCTGGTCTGGTGATTTATAGCAGACTGTAGCAGGACCATGCCCCATGGGTGTCCATGGGATTCCTACCTCCACTCTCCTGCTTCTTGGGGGTCCCTCCTTTTTCCTTATCTTCCATGCCTTGAGAGTACTATTTTGATGTTAATGGAGGCTGGTCCAGGGTCCCAGAGTGAGTCCTTTTTCACTTTGGCTGCCGGTACCCCTTGTACCCAGTTGGTCCCACTATGGCCCTCTTACCTTATCAGTTCAGGGAACCAGTTGCCTAATGGGCTATATTCATGCCTATGCCTTGCAGATGTTATTGCCTGTCCATTTGGACATGTGTGGGGGAGGTACCCCAACACTGATTTTGGCTCTCAGGCCTTAAACCTATGTCTGGGCCTTAGCCTTCCTGGCCTGAACCTTTTATTCTTGTGTCCCTCAGTCCAGGTCCACTGCCTCAAACCTTGACTCCTGGGCCCCAATCTTTCTGTTCTACGGCCCTGGTCTTTATCTCATGAATTCTGAGCCCCCCAGCCCTCTGGATCTGCAATCCCAGGGCCTGCTGCTCTCCTTGTGGCCTTGGCCTCTTAGTCTTGGCCAACTCATTCAGCCCTTAGCCTTCTGGGTCCCTGACCACAGGCTGCACTACTTACTAGGCCTGTGTGAATATTTGCTTTGGATTTAGATTTGGCTGAATTGGAGGACAGTAATTCAATTTGGAGATTCAAATCACTGTCCCAGTTTGATTTGGCCAAATGAGATCCAAAAGTTTTGGCACCGCTTCGGAGATTCAGCCGTAGACTAAATAGGCAACTGACACAGCTACCTCCAGCTGGTAAGTCTGTTGGGGTTTGGGGGAGGGCGGAGGAAACGGGCTTGGCGAAGGGAGGGATTGGGGCTGGGACAAGCAGCCCAGCTGGGGTGGGGGGGCCTGTTACTCAGGGAGGGAAGTGGGGGAGGTGTGGGGTGTTGGATGTGGGCACAGCAGTGCGGGCAGCAAGGGCTATGCCCTGCTGCTGCTTGACCAGCTGGGGGGGGGGTGGTGGCAGGATGTGGGCGCAGCTCTCTCCAGGTGGAAGGTGGCATGTGGCAGCAGGGCATAGCCCCCACTCCCAGCGCTGCTGCACCCACATCAGCACTGGGAGCAGGGTTTCTGCTGTGCCACCACTTGCCAGCTGGCGTAGATGGTGGGGGGACGTGGGATGAGGGAATGGCAGCACTGGGAGTGGGGCCTATGCTGTGCTGCTGTTTGCCCCTACTGCCTGGAGTAAATCACGCCCACATCCAACCCTGCCTGCATCCCTGCCCTGAATCCTGCCCATGCCTGCATCCCTGTCCCAGCTGGGCAAATGGCAGCAGGGCAGAGCCCCCTCTCCCAGTACTGCTTTGCCTACATCCTGCAACCCTCCCCGCCTCCTCTCCCTGAGTAAAGTGCCTCCCTGGCCTGGCTGGGCAGCTTGTCTAGTTCCTCCCTCCTGCATGCCCCTTCACTTTCCTCTCCCCCAGCACCAACAGACTTACCAGCTGGAGGCAGCTGTGTCAGCTGCCTGTTTACTCTATGGCCGAATCTCCAAAGCAGCTGAATCTTTTCCAAAACTTTTCCAAGTTGATTCAGATGCTTCCAATCAATTTGGAGCTTTTAATTGATCTCCTGATTCGATTCAGAGATTCGGAGATTTGGTCCCTGAATTGGGCCGAATCTCTGTCAAATTGAATCGGCTACTGAAGCTTCACACAGCCCTACTACTTACCTCTCTGTGGGCTTAACCCTCCCAGCCTTGGCCTAAGTCACTCAGCCCTCAGCCCTCTGCATCCCTGACCTTAGGACAGGCTGTCTATTGCAGAGTGCCCCAACAGGCACTTCCTCTGTACTCACAACTGAGTCCTCCAGTATCACATTCAAAATGTAACAAAATAATAAACACAAGCAAGCTGTTTTACAAACTGAAAGTCTTCCCCACTTAGGATTAATGTTGCCTGCAGGCTGTACCACCTTTGGACTCCTCTCATCCCAACTCCTGTGGATGGCTTGGGTGCCTGCCTGTCAGTCTCCATTAGCTCTTCTCTAAAGGGATAACCTTTCCCAGCAGCATGCAGGGGTAGATTGCCTGCTCAGCCTCAGGTACAAGGTTTATGGACTGTGAAGCCCCACTCCTTCTTGTCATGTGTCTCCCCAGCCATGCACAGATGTTTCCATTTGGGGTTGATGGTCTTTTTCTGCTGCAGCAGCTGCAGATGCTTGCTGCAGTAATCAACTTTCCCCTCTTAAAGTGACAGGGCCTTGTTCCTCTTACATAGACAAACACCACAATATCACTGTTGTTACTCTCCCCTCTGACCCTAACCCAGAGACTTGCAACAGACCTATCTTCAGTTTCATACTGAAGCTCTGAGCAATCATACAGCTTTTTTACATAAAACACAACTCCTCCTCCTCTTCCCCTTGTTTGTTCTCCCTGAACAATTTATACCTATCCATGATAGTACTCTAGCCATGAGAGGTATCCGACCAAGTCTCTGTTACTGCAATCACATTATTGATCCATCACTCTGCGAGGATTTCCAGTTCTTTCTGTTTGTTTCCCAGGCTCTGTGCATTTGTGTGCAGACATCTGAGGTAACTAGGTATTTGCCCTACTTTCTAAGGAAGAATGAGAAGGCCTCCTCTGTTATCCCCTCATACTTGTACTTGTTCCAGGTCACCTGGTTCCCCACTTCCCTCCAAGCTTTGGTTTCCATCACCCAGTGAACTTAGCTTAAAGCCCTCCTCACAAGCTTAGCAAGCCTATTTCTAAAGACGATCTTCCCTCACTCTGTCAGGTAGATTCTATCTCTTCCTAGCAATCTTTATTCTTGGAACAACATCTCATGTTGGCAAAAGCTAAAACCCTCCTGGTGACACCATCTGCACAGCCATACATTGCTCTGCAGGATGCATCTGCCTCTGCCTGGGGTCATCCCTTTGATTGGAAGGATTGAGGAGATCCACCTGAGCCCCTGTCTCCTTCACCCTTGCACCCAGAGCCCTGTAGTTACTTTTGATACGCTCAGAGTCCCCTTGGCAGCATCATTGATGTCCTCATGGATGACCAGTATGGGACAGTAGTCAGAGGGCTGGATGAGCCTTGGATCCAGATTCTGGGCAAGCAGCACACCTCTTGAGACAACAGGTCAGACAGGCAGATGAATATCTTCATTCCACACAGAAGGCAATCATCAAATACCAGCACATGTTATTTCCTCTTGGTGGTAGTGGTCTTAGAATCATAGAATCAATGAGTTGGAAGGGACCTAGAC